GGAAAGTCACGTCTGAGATACGATCCACTATGTCTCCATGGGCCTTCCCATGGAGAAGACAACTTACGAGACTTCCCTTTGGTCTTCCTGGGATTATACAACCATACCTTGTCTCCTGGTATAAAGTTGACTTCAGTAGATCTCTTATCATAAGTTAACTTCATCGAATCAGCAGACGTTTTCAAGTTTGAACGCCTTTCCGATAACACTTTCACAAACTCTGACACATTCTCAGGCAACTCTTCATAAGGTGGGGGTCATGTTAACAGATCCACTGGCAACCAAAGTTCCCGACCAAACATCAACTTCGCTGGAGTGTATCCAGTGGTTTCATGCTCTGCTGTCCTATAGGCCATCAACAGTGGAGGGAGTAAGACATCCCAGTCATCTTGGCGGCTATTACAAAACTCTGCCAATTCCTGTCCCAATGTCCAGTTGTACTTTTCTACCATCCCATCAGACTGTGGGTGAAGTGGCGTTGTCCTGGTCTTTCGGATGCCAAACAACTTGCAGCATTCTTGAAACACAGCTGATTCAAAGTTACCATGTACTTTTCAGTGGCACGCGTACAACAGTTTGAGAATCCTTGATATATGTTAAGCACGGAAAATATGTCAACAAAATCTTTATAAATTTCCCAATTGAAATATTCCTCAACATAACATCAAACGCTGTTTCAATTTCTATATTCACTCTGTTCTTTATTCTTTATACCGTTCTTTAATTCCTTAAAACTGTTAAATTTGCTTGTTAAAATTTTGGCGACTGGATATCAATTGCTATGATTAATGATCTATATGATCAACTAAGCCTAATTATAAGTTGCTTAGGTGATCGTATAGTTCACTAACCATGGTAACGACAAAATTTACGATACATCTTCTTGATTAAATCCTGTGATATACTATACTATTTATTTATTGTAACTTTCATTAACAATATTCGTTAGACTGTTTAATATTTTCAAGTTTATTTTTTAATAGTATACTTTTATTATAGAGATT